GTATTTCCAGAACTACACTAACATTAATCATAACACCAGATTTCCAAACTCCATTTCTTTTTTAAGAAGATCATTGTAAAGATTCTGGAAAGGTTCATTTCTGTCCTGTGAACGGGACTTTTTTAATATAAATACCCACGAAAAAACGTTTCAGTACTAGTTTTAATATAAGTGAGAACCAAGTCTACCTCAGAACTAAACCAGGACTAAGGCCAGGACTAAACCAAGACTAGAACCAAGTCTACAACGGAACTAAACTAGAACTGGACCAAAACTAGAACCAAGCCCACAACGGAACCAAACCAGGAAAGGACCAGGACTAGAACCAAGTCTACAGCAGAACTAAACCAGGACTAATGCCAGGACTAAACCAAGACTAGAACCAAGTCTACAGCAGAACTAAACCAGGAAAGGACCAGGACTAATCCAGGACTAGAACGAAGTCTACAACGGAACTAAACCAGGACAGGACCAGGACTAAACCAGGACTAAACCAGGACTATAACCAAGTCTACCTCAGAACTAAACCAGGACTAAACCAGGACTATAACCAAATCTACCTCAGAACTAAACCAGGACTAAGGCAAGGACTAAACTAAGACGAGAACCAAGTCTACAGCAGAACTAAACCAGGTCTGGACCGGGACTAATCCAAGACTAGAACCATGTCTACCTCAGAACTAAATCAGGACAGGACTGGAATTAGAACTAAGTCCACAACGGAACTAAACCAGGACCAGGACTAAATCAGGACTAGAACCAAATCTACAACACAAATAAACCAGGACTTGACTAGAACTAAACCAGGACTAGAACAAGGACCAAATCGAGTCTATTTCAGGACTTTAACCGGGTCAAACCAGGACAAGTTCGACCATAACAAACTGTTCTCTAAACTATTGTCCAAGTATCGATCTGAAGTTCAAAGTGAAATCTGCTTTTTCAGAACTTTTAACAACTTTCTTCCGAATCCAAAGAGGAAATAAACATTAATATTTGCTTCAAATTGTGTCCGAAATATAAAAAATAAGGATTGTTTCCATCGTGATTAACCTTTTTAATTAAACTTCCATGTTAAAGGGCCAATATTTCTCAATTTTCTCGTTATTTCCTCGTCACAAACAGACCTGGAGTTGTGTTTTGTTGTTATTTTTTTTTAATTATTATTAATACATATTTTTTTCTATTTTATTTTGACTTGTTCATTAACATTTATATAATTAAGTCTCATTTCACATTTGTCTCTTGCTCTTTTTGGCGACTTCTTTAGAATTTATTATTTCTAGTTTTTCACTCTTTCTTGATTATATTATATTGTGATGAGCTGTTCACTTGAAAACTTCATGACATCACAAGGTGGAACAGGATATTTTGAGCTTTGGAGAAGTAGGCAGACTAATAATAAAGAGTGACTCAAATGTGAATGACACAAAACACAAATCAGGGTCTAAATTAATTGTCTAAATAAATAGGAATAACCACACGTCGCACTCAGACGTTTCTTTTGTCCAAACTAAATCTGACATTGAATGACCGTCGTGAATCACCAGCACGTCTTACATCTACCAAAAAAATTGTAATACGTTGTTGGAAATCAGTTTAACCTCTGACTGTGAGAAAATGTTTTTTATCTTACAGAGAAATCATTCAGCTGGAGCTTTGTGCTGCTTGAACGCACAGAGCAAAACCCAAAAAACTTTTCTTGCTGGTCCAATCTACTGACCAAACTGAGATCTGAATGTGTTTTATAGTTGTATAGTTGTTACTTCGAGTCCTTTTATTTTAGTTTATGTTCACAGAATGCACACAGTATATACACTTTTAGTTAATTTTTTTATGTATGGTATAGAATAAGTGTGCATAACGTCATTTCTGCTGATGTGTTTTGAAGGAGGAAATTTGCAGCTGTTTTGTATCGAGGGAATTTAAACCTGGACGTATGTGTGTGTGTGTATATATATTTATATGGCGATATTTATATGTGAAAAAACACTGTAAACTAGGAATGGAAAGCCTTCAAAAATGAAAGTGTCATTTATTTTCATTAATCAACAAAATGCAGTGAACACACAACAGAGAAATCTATATCAAATCAGTATTTGGTGAGACCTTCAGAAGAGCAACAGTTCTTCTAGGTCAGAGGTGTCCAAACTTTTTTCATCAAGAGCCACAAATCTAAACACACATGAAGCAGAGAGCTGATCGAGGGCCACAGACTGGTGCTCAATACAGTGAATAATTGAAATATGTGCATGTTTAACACGTTACAATGAGTCATCAGTCTTTATTCATGTTAAGATCCTTAAAACCAAACATTAAATATTAAATACTGGCTTTGTCAAGGCTGATTTTCAAAAAACTTGCTGTAAAAAGTTAATTTTTAATTGATGTAAAGTGATTTGGGCCAAGTCACCTTGAAGTCTGAGGGCCAAGAAAAATTTGTCCGAGGGCCACATTTGGCCCACGGGCCGTAGTTTGGACAGGCCTGTTCTAGATTTACTTACGTACAGTTTTTGAAGGAACTTGGCTGATTATTCCAAACAAAGAACTTAAAGATCTAAGCCCAGATCTTCCTCGCGTCCTTCTGTCTTGTCGTTTAATCCCACACGCTCCATGATGTTGAGGTCAGGACTCTGTGGGGGTCAGACCATCACTTCCAGATCTTGTTCTTCTTGACGCTGAAGATATTTCTTAATGACCCTTGGCTGTAGGTTTGGGGTGGTTGTGCTGCTGCAGAATAAATCTGGGGCCAATCATACACCTCCCTGATGGTATTACATGATGGATAAGTATCTGCCTGTATTTCTCAACACTGACAACCCCATTAATCCTGACCAAATCCTCAACTCCATTTACAGAAATGCAGCCCCACACGTTCAACAAACCTCCACCGCGCTTCACTGTTGCCTGCAGACACTCGTCACTGTACCGTCTCCAGAGAGAATCCAGCAGATCATTTTATTTGTCAAGTTGAATCCTCAAGTGGAGGAGTTCAAGTATCTCAGGGTTTTGTTCTCGAGTGAGAGGAGGATGGAGCGTGAGATTGACAGGTGGATCGGTGCAGCGTCGGCAGTGATGCGGTCGCTGTATCGGACCGTTGTGATGAAGAGAGAGCTGAGCCAAAAATCAAGCTCCATAGATTACATCAATCTACCTTCCTCCCCTCACTTACGGTCATGAGCTCTGGGTAACGACCGAAAGGACGAGATCGTGGATACAAGCGCTCGAAATGAGTTTCCTCCGCAGGGTGTCTGGGCGTCTCCCTTAGAGACAGAGTGAGGAGCTCAGTCAAACGGGAGGAGCTCGGAGTAGAGTCGCTGCTCCTCCATGTCCAGAGAAGCAGCTGAGTCTTAGTCTAGTCCTGATTTAGCCCTGGTCTAGTCCCGGTTTGGTTCTGTTTTAGTCCTGGTCTAGTCTTGATCTAGTCCTGGTTCAGCCCTGGTCTTTATGCCCAGCTCGAGCATCTGTTCTGATGCCTCCTGGGCGTCTCCCTCAGGAGGTGTTCTGGGCAAGTCCCACAGAGAAGAGACCCTGAGGAAGACCCAGGACACACTTGGCTGGCCTGGGAAAGCCTCGGAGTCCCTCTGGAGGAGCTGGAGCAGGGGTCTCCAACCTTTTTTTTCCAGTGAGCTACTTTTACAAAATGAAAATGTCAGAGAGCTACTGGTTTAACAGTCACAAGAAACTGAGTATAAATAAGGACCATGGCGAACCTACAGTACAGGTACAGTTCAAAGTCTGTAAAACATAAACCATTATCCACTTTGTGTAAAAATCTCTTTTTCGATCTACTTGTAAGAGAGTGGAGAGCTACTGGTAGCTACAGGTTGGAAAACCCTGAGTTGGAGGAAGTGTCTGGGGTGAAGGAAGTCTGGGAGTCCCTGCTTAGACCTGACTCCAGATCAGTGGAAGAAAATGGATGGATGGAAGTTGAATCTACTCAAATAAAGTAAAAGGCTCTTAATTAAAGTCATTTTAATTTAACGATATTGTTTTTTTTCCCATTATATAAGCACATGTGGGTTGTTCTATAGATATATTTACGTTTATTTATGTGTGTTTGAGGTTGTGGGGTTTAAAAGGGAGAAAAATGATGCAACGCCAACTGCAACATGCCCAGTGTCGGGGAGTAACAGATTACATGTACCAGAGTTACATAATCAGAGTACAAATTATGAGTAACTGTATTCAGTTACAGTTACAGTTTCAGTGAGTGGTAATTGGATTACAGTTACTTTGTTGAAATAAATGGATTACAAAGCTGGTCTTTTTTCATGTCTTTAAGTAGATGAAATATTTTATGTTAAGATATTCTGGTCTTTTCTTCTCTACAGTAAAACAAAAGTCTGTTCATGGAGACTTGGGCTCAACAGCCAATTTGAAGAGAACAAACAAGAATTTTCAGGATGTGGTTGGTACATTCATGTCGTTTTAAAAAGCACGACAATATCAAATAATCCAAAGTATTCAGATTACATTACTCACTTTAAGTAATTTAATGGATTACGTTACAAACTACATGTTGGGGTATGTAATCTGTAATCTGTAGGGGATTACATTTTAAAAGTCACCTTCCCAACGCTGTTAATAATGATCCCAAAAAATTAACCGTAAATGAACAGTCAAACCAAACTCTGAATGTGTTTCTGATCACGTACAGAATCTTCCACAGAAAACAATCAGTCCGTTTTCTGTAATCTACAAGTACGGGACCTTTAACCGGCTTTTAAAACTTCCAAATTAATGAAAACAGGAAATCGTGACACTGTCACATCTGCTTTACTACAACTGTCCCGTTTTAATCCCTGCGTTTTAACCCCATGACTACGTCCACACCGTGCGCAGCTCCATAATCTACGTGTGTCTCCGCTGCTGTCACTCGGGGAGCGACTCAGCGGTGTGTCAGCTTCCCCCCCCCCCCCGCGTCTCTCTCCTCTCTCTCACTTGGACCCTCCCCGGCCACGCCCCCCCCCGTCCACAAGACCTCGCGCCGCCGATGCCAGCAGCCGCTCAAATAACGAATCAGACGCGGCGCAACGAGACGAGACCTGAAGTGAGAGCAGCAGAACGAACCACCAGCACTGCACACACACAGAGAGAGAGAGACGTGCCAGTGCCAAAGCCAAAGCCAGGACCGGTGCCGTAGCGACTTTGCACCGGCGTCAACGCTCCCGTCCGCAGCCTTCCCCGTTTTTTGGAGAGATCCGCGGAAAAGGGCCGTGCGTAAAAGTTGCGCGGCCGGTGCGTGTGCCATCGCCGAGGAAGGGGCAGTGTTTTGGATTTCCAGAGCCTATCACCGCGTCTTTGTTGCCGGATGGAGGACGCACGGTTGGCTCGCTGAGAACACGCCACATGTCTCACGATATTATGGATATTCACCGGCTCTAGCGCGAACCAATTTTTTTTATTTTGTTTCACCACGAGAGTCTGTTTTGTTTTGCATCCACGAGATTTTTGTTTTTGTTTCCACTATTATTATTTTTTTCTGGAGCGACCTGCTGAAATTTGAACGCCATCGAGAGGAATACAATCATGAACTTTGTTGTTAGTTTGGTACAAATCCTCTTGGCTGCGGTTTTACATCTCTCCACTGTTAAGGCAAGTCTCGCACTTCTCTTCTCGCCAATTTCTATTAATACCTGCGCGCGCTATCACACTGCCCCATTTCAGTATCTTTTCGACTTCAAGACACGTGTTCTGCGCATTATCAGCCCCGTTATAACAGCTTTATGACACCTTTTCATCCCTGGAACACAATGTTTTGTACTCTCTGTCTCTTTCTCTAACAATATTTCATTACGCGTTTGGAGCAATTTGCGAAAAGCAGCGCGTTTACTTTCTTACTTGTCTTTTCTTATTTTCTCCTCCTCTGGCGTGTCATGCAAAGTGGAATAGGCGCCAAACTTAAGCCCCAGGAGATTCAATTTGGCTTTGAAAGAGTCGCATTTAAATTCAGCTCCAGCTTCTTTCATGCGAGGTGGACACAATTGTCACTGCCAGGGCTTATTGCGTACGAATGCGCGTTTTTAAGTTGCTATTACGGGTGAGTTAAGCGTGCGTTTTGGACAGCAACTAAGCCGAGTTTTAAAGCAGTGTCTCCAGAATTTAAAGCTGTGTTGATTGTGAAATGTAGCGCTCGGTGTCATAGTTTAATTTGTATTTTAGCGTTAAATTTGTCGGATTTTGAATGAAGTCTCGCCGGGGCCAAAGAGCGCCTTTCTCTGCCTGAGTCATCGCTGGTGCCGGCTCCGTTTCTCCTGTCACTCACGCGCACGCACGTAAAAAAGGAAGGACGCACGCACATGGACGAGCACGTACACACACACACATACACACACACACATCGTTGAAGGAGCACGCACGCGCACGGTAGGGAAATAGGAGCCGGTTTCTCACGCAATACAGCAGGAGGAGGGGGGGTGTGCACGAGGGGGAGCGGGTGCACGAGGGGAGGAGGGAGGGGGGGTGTATGTGCGCGCGGAGCCGGTGGTGAGGTGGTGAACGCGGCTCCCGGGAAACGGCGCGTCAAAACCCCGGGAGGAAACCAAAACAAAGAGCTGTTCTGGTCCGATCCTTCAAAATAATGTGCAGACAGACCGGGTTTAGTCCTGGTTTGGTCCTGGTTTGGTTCAGGTTTGGTTTTGGTTTGGTCCTGGTTTAGTCCTGGTCTAGCCTTGGTCTAGTCCTGGTCTAGTCCTGATGTAATCTTGGTTTAGACCTGATTTAGTTCAGATTTAGCACTGGTCTAGTCTTGATTTAGCCCTAGTCTAGTCCTGGTTTGGTCCTGGTCTAGTCCTGCTAAAGTCCTGGTTTAGCCCTGGTTTAGACCTTGTTTAGTCCTGGTTTAGCCCTGGTTTGGTACTGGTTCAGCCCTATTCTAGTCCAGGTCTAGCCATAGTCTAATCCTGGTCTAGGTCTTGGCCTTGGTATGGTACTGGTTTAGTCCTGGTTTAGCCCTAGTCTAGCCCTGGTTTAGTCCTGATTTAACCCTGGTTCACTCCTGATTTAGTCCTGGTTTGGCCCTGGTCTGGCCTTGGTCTAGTCCTGGTCTAGCCCTGGGTTAGTCCTGGTCTAGTCTAGCCTTGATCTCATCCTGGTCTAATCCTTTTCTAGTCCTGGTTTAATCTTGGTTTATACCTGATTTAGCCCTGTTTAGCCCCGATCTTGCCCTGGTTTAGTCCTGGTCTAGCTTTGGTCTAGTCCTGGTCTAGCCCTGATTTAGCCCTGGTCTTGACCAAGACTAGACCAAAGCTAGATCAGGACCAAACCAGGACAAGTCCAAATTTAGCTCTGGTCTAGCCCTGGTCTATCCTTGATTTAGTCCTGATTTAGTGCTGGTCTAGTCCTACTTTAGTCCTGATTCAGTCCTGGTTCAGTCCTGGTTTAGTCCTGGTTTAGTCCTGGTTTAGTCCTGGTTTAGTCCTGGTTTTAGTCCCTTGATTTAGTCCTGGTTTAGTCCTGGTTTAGTCCAGGTTTAGTCCTGGTTTAGTCCTGGTTTAGTCCTTGAGTCCTCCACGTCACGGTCAGTTCAAACGTGGCAGTAAAAAGGCTGTAAAAAAGTGATTAGTCTTTAATTAGTCCCTGATCTTTCCTTTTGTCTGTGCACACTCACTTTTATTGCCCCGGACACCGACCCGGGGGCAAACGCAGGAGGTTGTTGGTCCAATTCCAACTCTATAACCTCATACTGTTATTGTGTCCTTGAGCAAGACACTTCACCCTCCCTGATAAACGTGACACGAATGATCAATGAAGGCAACAAATCAATCAACATTTACGCGATTACGGATTCTTTTATCGCTCAAAAATACCTCGAAACTTGGCTCGCCTCTCCGCAGATCTGACCCGTGACTAGTTTAAGTTAACCGGGGAGTCGACCTTCCACTAGAAAAGTTACAGAGTGCAGCTTTAAGTCGAAAAGTTTGACTAAAATCTTGAAAATGTGGTTAGTTTAGAGTTGGCGCGTTTTATTTTGAAAGGGTCTCAGGTGTTTGGTGTTTCCAGCTTGACGGAGCCACTTCCTGTCTGTGCACTTGTTCAACTTTGAGGTTTTATCAGGAAATTTACAACTTGCAGCCACTTTATGACTTTATAAAATCAAAAAACACGACGTTACATCGATTAACGGACTTAGATATTTGTCAAAGCTTTTATTTTTAAAGCTCGGACCAAAAAAACACCACGAAAAACACAAATAATCCAGTTACTTTTTCATTTTTTTACTCTTTACTTCGACCAAAACCTTGTACTTCTACTTGAGTAATATTATTTTGAAGTACTTGGAATAAAATATATCAAAATATTGTGGGACTAAATGTGGTGATACAGTATTTTTTGGAATGTTTTCGCAATTTTTTCTTATTATTTAGTGGAAGGGATTTTGTTTTTGCGTTTTCCACGTGACATATTCACAGTTTTGAGGATTAAAATTGATGTTTCTCATATTATTTTTGCACAACTGGTGGTTTTAACAAAAAAATCATCAGGTCATGTGTAATATTTTGTGATCATGTCGTATCGTGAGCCAAAATATCGAGACAAAATTGCACGAGACGAGACGAGATACGAGATACGGTCGACGAAAACGAGACAAGATCAGATTTTAACATAATTCCTGATACAATCGAAATGTAAACACTTGGAAAAAAACCTCCTGCAATAGTCCTAGTTTGGTCCTGGTTTAGTCCTGGTCTAGTCCCGGTCTAACCTTGGCCTAGTCCTGGTTTAGGCCTGGTCTAACCTTGGTCTAGTCTTGGTCTAGTCCAGATTTAGCCCTGGTCTAGTTCTCGTCTAGTCTTGGTTTAGCCCTGCTCTAGTCCTGGTTTGGTCCTGATTTAGTCCTGGTCTAGCCTTGGTCTAGTCCAGATTTAGCCCTGGTGTTGTCCTGATTTGGTCCTGGTTTAGTCCTGGTCTAACCTTGGTCTAGTCCTGGTTTTAGCCCTGGTCTAGTTCTGGTTTAGGGTAAATTTAGCCCTGGTCTAGCCTTGGTCTAGTTCACATTTAGCCCTGGTCTAGTCCTGGTTTAGTCTTGGTCTTGTCCTGGTTTGGTCCTGCATTAGCCCTGGTCTAGAGCCTTGGTCTAGTACTAGTCTAATCTTGATTTTGCCCTGGACTAGTCCTGGTCTAGTCCAGATTTAGCCCTCTTCTAGTCCTGGTTTGGCCCTGGTCTAGTCTTGGTCTAGTCCTGGTTTAGCCTTAATCTAGTCCAGATTTAGCTCTGGGATAGTCCTATCTTGGTCCTGGATTAGCCCTGGTCTAGTCCTGGTTTAGCCTTGGTCTACCTTTGGTCTAGTCCTGGTTTAGCCCTGATCTAGCCTTGGTCTAGTTCAGATTTAACCTTGGCCTAGTCCTGCTTTAGTCCTGGTTTAGCCTTGATCTAGTCCAGATTTAGTCCTGGTCTTGTCCTGGTCTAGTCCTGGTCTAGTGTTGGTCTAGTGTTGGTCTAGTCCAGATTCTAGAGACAAAATTTCCACGAGACAAGACAAGATTTTAACACAATTTCTGACAAATTTCACCTAAAAATTTTAGTTATTTTTTAATTTCTTATTTATTTATTTATTTCATTTTAGTCCTACTTTTTGGAACCGTAAGAAATGTAACTCAACAAATCTTAATTGTTTTTTGTCAAATCCAAACGTAAAAACGCTCGGAAAAAAATCTCAGGAGTTCATTTTCTCTTTAATTTGTGTCAATTTTGTGTCACGAGATTTTGTTTCTGTTGCTCAAAAATTCCGCTGTTCCTTCCGTGAATTGAGGCGCCTCTCCGCAGACCTGACCTATAAAGTCAAAGATACGAGAAAAGTTACGCAATGCCCCTTTACCCAGACCGTAAACTCAGCGGCGCATGTGAGGGCAGCTCTGTGAAGCGATCCGAACCGATAAATGTGTTTGGGAAAAGAATGTGTAACAGTGCGCGTGACGTAACCCGACATTTCACCGACGGAAAGTTAACCGCTGTTTATTTAGTATTTTTTCTCTTGTAAATCTGTAATTGTGTTTTAAAATGTTTAACTCGAGTCCCGGTGTTGTTTTTTTGTTTTTTTTTTGCAGGGTGCCAGCATTAGCGCGATGGAGAAGAGCAAAAACGAAGGTGAGCGCTTTTCTCTTTATTTCAATGGCAGGTGTGTGAGCGGGCCCCCTGGTGGACGCACAAGGAACTGCTGGATGTGTATTTTTGTTTTTTGGGGTTTTTTTTGTATTTATTTTTTGTATTTTTGTCAGTTTATCAGATTATTTCTATTGAACATTGAGAATTTTTAAGCAAATTTTAATCAAAAATGGTGTGAAATACCTGGTCCTGGTTTAGTCCTGGTCTAATCTTGGTTTGGTCCTGGTTTGGTCTTGGTGTGGTTCTGGTTTAGTCCAGATTTGGTCCTGGTTTAGTCCTGGTCTAGTCCTGGTTTGGTCTTGGTTTGGTCCTGGTTTAGTCCTGGTTTGGTCCTAGTTTGGTCCTGGTTTAGTCCTGGTTTGGTCCTGGTTTAGTCCTGGTTTGGTCCTGGTTTGGTCCTGGTTTAGTCCTGGTTTAGTCCTGGTTTAGTCCTGGTTTAGTCCTGGTTTAGTCCTGGTTTGGTCCTGGTTTGGTCCTGGTTTGGTCCTGGTTTGGTCCTGGTTTGTCTGGTTTAGTCTGGTTTCCTAGTCCTGGTTTAGTCCTGGTCCTGGTTTAGTCCTGGTTTAGTCCTGGTTTGGTCTTGGTTTGGTCCTGGTTAGTCCTGGTTTGGTCCTGGTTTGGTCCTGGTTTGGTCCTGTTTAGTCCTGGTTTTGTCCTGGTTGGTCCTGGTTTGGTCCTGGTTTAGTCCTGGTTTAGTCCTGGTTAGTCCTGGTTTAGTCCTGGTTTGGTCTTGGTTTGGTCCTGGTTAAGTCTTGGTTTGGTCCTGGTTTAGTCCTGGTTTGGTCCTGGTTTAGTCCTGGTTTGGTCTTGGTTTGGTTCTGGTTTAGTCCTGGTTTGGTCCTAATTTAGTCCTGGTCTAATCCTGGTTTGGTCCTGGTTTAGTCCTGGTTTGGTCCTGGTTTAGTCCTGGTTTAGTCCTGGTTTAGTCCTTGGTTTGCCTTGGTCTAGTCCAGATTTAGCCCTGGTCGTGTCTTGGTTTGGTCCTGGTTAGTCCAGGTTTAGCTCTGGTCTAGTCCGGTTTTTTGTAGAGTTTTATTTATTAGTTTTTTTCTGTTTGTTGATTCCGATATCTGATGCTGTTTTGACCGATAACCGATGTTTGAAGCTGACGTCAACTTGACAAACCCCGACAGTCGTCAGTGTGTGAAGAGTGACGCTGTGAGAACGAAGCTCACACGTCCCAAAGTCCACGGCGAAGACCGAGGACACACCAGGACTTTTGGACCTGACCATAAAAACACCACAGAAAATCCAACACTGAAGTAAAACCGAGCTCTGAAAACAAAAACAAAAAAAACTCAAACAAAAAACTCAAACAAAAAAATCAAAGAAAGAAACTAAATTATGTATAGATTTAGTCTTATTTGTTCCTTTAAAATGACTTTATAAACACTTTGAGCACTACTACTACTACTACTACTACTACTACTACTACTACTACTACTACTACTACTACTACTACTACTACTACTACTACTACTACTACTACTACTGCTACTACTACTACTACTACTACTACTACTGCTACTACTACTACTACTACTACTACTACTACTACTACTACTACTGCTACTACTACTACTACTACTACTACTACTACTACTACTACTACTACTACTGACTACTACTACTACTACTACTACTACTACTACTACTACTACTACTACTACTACTACTACTACTACTACTACTACTACTACTGCTACTGCTACTGCTACTACTACTACTACTACTGCTACTACTACTACTACTACTACTGCTACTACTGCTACTACTACTACTACTACTGCTACTACTACTACTACTACTGCTACTGCTACTGCTACTGACTACTACTACTACTACTACTACTACTACTACTACTGCTACTACTACTACTACTACTACTACTACTACTACTACTACTACTGCTACTACTACTACTACTACTACTACTACTACTACTACTGCTACTACTACTACTGCTACTACTTACTACTACTACTACTACTACTACTACTACTACTACTACTACTGCTACTGCTACTACTACTACTACTACTACTACTACTACTACTACTACTACTACTACTACTACTACTACTACTACTACTACTACTCTACTACTACTACTACTACTACTACTACTACTACTACTACTACTACTACTACTACTACTGCTACTACTACTGTACTACTACTACTACTACTACTACTACTGCTACTACTACTACTACTACTACTACTACTACTACTGCTACTACTACTACTACTACTACTACTACTACTACTACTACTACTATACTACTAAACTTACTACTACTCTACTACTACTACTACTACTACTACTGCTACTACTACTACTACTACTACTACTACTACTACTACTACTACTACTACTACTACTACTACT